GGGGGGGCGGAAGAGCGGGACGGCGCTGCGGCGCCCGAGGAGGCGAGTCCCGGCCCGGGGCCGGCGGCCGCTCCTTCGGCCTCGGCGGGAACCGCTGTCAGCCCCGGCGCCCGGCGCCGCGCATGAAACCGAGGCCGGGGGAGACGGGCGCCGCGCTCGCCCCTATTGTCCGGCGCGGCCGGCAGCGGGAGGAGGCGCCGCCGCACGGCCCCGCTCCGCGGAGGGAAGGGGCCGGGCCCTCGGCGAGGGGACCCGAGGAGGAGGAGGAGAGGGAGATGGAGGAGGAGGAGGAGGAGAAGGAGGGAGGAGGACTGAGCCTTCGCCCCGCCCGCCCCCGCCCGGAGCAGCCCCGAACGCGCTGGCCCGGGAGGAGGCACGCGCCCGGCGGACGCTGCGTGGGTCGCACGGCTGGCGACACGCAGCGCGTCATCACGTCCCTCCCCGCGCGCCCCACTCCCGCCCGCCCGTGCGCGGCAACAGCAGCAGCGGCACAGGGTGGCTCGGCGGCGCCAACGGGCCCCGCGCGCAGCGCATCGGCGCATGCGCGCCCCGTTTCGCGCCTTCGGCGGACGGAGCCGGCGGCGATGCCGAGGCGGGCGCCATGGGGCCGTGCCGGTTTGCCCCGCCCCGCCTCGCGGCGCTCCCCGCGCCCCGGCGGCAGAAGGAGGCGGGCCCGCGCTCCTCGAGCACGTGCCGGGCCGGGCCGTGCTGAGCGAGGCGTGAGGGGCCGGGCCCAGAGAGCGGCGGGACGAGGAGTGGCGTGGCGGCGCTGAGGGGTGGCTGTTAGCCCTGACCTGGGCGCCTCGAAAAGAAGCGGGGGAGGCAGCTCCATTTGAAATTAATTCCCTATAAAAAGCAGTTGACGGAGGAGTTTGTATTTGCGTCTGAACGCTTGCATGCATCTTCTAGGCGTACAGGTGAGGGCTGGGATGACATAATTTCTGAGAAAAAAAAACAGGTTATTGGCAAATCACGTCAGCCTGGGAGTTGGAGATGGAATAACGCAAGAGGTCGTATGGACCACAGTGATGTGCATCACGCTCAGTGGGACAGAACTATTTTGTTCCATTTTTAGGAAGAATTCTCCCTTTGTTTCTCTCCGTGATTGCTTCTTTTCATCCTTTCATCCCTTTATTTTTCTGTCAAAAAAAAATAATAATCCTATATATAGTGTGATAGCTAAGGGAGCTCTTCTGTGCTTTGAAGCGCCTGTACCCACTTAAAAATCAGATTTTGTGAAATGATTCATATGACTTCATTTTACATAACACATTGTTCTCCCAAGCGCTCGCTTACTGGCAAAAAGGTTCAGATTTCACACGATAACAGTTATTTATAGGCAGTGACATGGCTTTGGAGGAGCCCATTTAGAAAGAATGCCTGGTTTGCTGGGGGGATTTTTGTCTGTTTGAACTGGTTGTAAGAACAAGTTTCATAGGTATGGGCTGATGACTTTTTCTCCGAGTTACAAATTTAACAAGTGCACCTCGATCTTTTGCAGAACTGCAATTCAGTGTTGTATCACGGGTAGCAACAAGGACATGGACGCCAGAGATGACAGTGCATTGGCTGCTTCAATTTAAAAGCTTTTTTTCAGCTGTTCTCATCCTGTTTCTTCAAATAAAGGTGTAACAAACTTTTACACTGTATGATATTGTAATGTATGCAATTGTTCACAATTTATAATAAGCATACAATTTTAGGTAAAATATGTGCTTGGCTTTCTTAATTGAATTAAGGTACGGCAGGTTTTCCTCTGCATTCCTTGATTTTTTTGTTGTTATGTTTGCTTAGCTTGCATTAAATCATGGTTGCATTTGAAGTGATGGCAGAACTTAATTTTCACCCAAGTCAGTACTGCCCACCTCCACTCATTTTTCAGAATTACTTCTGGTTCTCTCCTACTAATAACAAATCTGTACTCAGGTAAGTTAGATTTTTACTCTAGCCCATCTAAAATTCATTTATCAGCAGTATGTGTTGCAGAAAAATGAAAGCACACTTTTACTGAACGTACAGAGTAGGTTTCAATCAAGGTCAAGCTGTAATTGATAGTGTGTTTTTATGGTTCCTAACAGTGGTGTGTTCTTTCCATCAGACGAGTTGAAACTCGTTCTTTAAGGTCATACACTAGTACATCTTTAAATAACATAATCAGCATTTTCTTTTATTCTCCCCCACTCGTAATCAAATTATCTTTGATCTCTAATTAACATTATATAAACACCTTTAAGGAATCTGAAATGTGTTCTTGTGAAGCAAGCATAGATTTTCCAGACAGTGGATGATTCCCTATGTATTTTGTTTTCAGGACACAAAGTACTATTTTTATACGTGCAGAAATTATCAGGGCTATGGTTTCCTGTACAAATTTACTGAGAATTTCACCTCGAATAAAAGAGGAAACCTTGGAATTATGGCTTAAGTATTTGCAGCCTAAATACATTACAAAGAATGCACATGCCATGTTTTGTACTTCACCTATTCTGCCTACTGTCTTGTGTAAGTCAAGAGTTTGCAGTACAAGACAGAGGTTTTTATTCATTTTCTTCATTATACAGGTATGGCAACAACAGAGTGTTGATTCAGAGCATTTTGTTTGAGCTAAGTTGTGTTCTCTGTGCACAGTGCAGTTCCTGAAGCACCGCAGTGCTGCACTTCTTAACAGCAACATGTGATGTTATCAGGTGCTGTAGCTCATCTGCACAAGCCTTTCGTATGGACATCTGAATGTATTCAAATTCAGGATGCATTAATAAAGATTCAGTGATTCTCTTCAGATTCAGTTTTACACCTTATTACCATGTTGGGGTGCTGTCCAGTGGGGAAGATGCATTGCTGAGGGCCAGTTTTGTCACAAAGTGGGGAACCCTTACAGAGCCAGCAAAATGGAAGGTCACAGAAACATCATTAGTTCAGTTTCTCTGTTCCTATGGGAAGAAGCTCAAATCACACAGGTACTTCAGGAAAACGTTGTGCCGGACCTGCTGTGCTGCAAAGAGCACTGCTTTGGGGCACAGCCAGCTCACACTGGCAGAGCTGAACAGTCTGCATAAAAGAGGAGGCTTCAGTCAATTTTTTGTACGAAACAGAAAATGAGGATCCGCAAAGGCATACTGTGGTTGTGCTTGGGAAATACCTGACGAGCACTAAAAAGCTCTTTACAGATAAACAGTCAACATGCGTGACAGTTTGTAGCTTTTCTTCTGAGCTGAAGAAGTTACTTGGTACACACTGCATGGTTTATTTCTGTAGGCAGGGAAAAATGTCTTTTCAGTTGTGTTCTCAGTAGCTGTATTGTTATGTTTTGGTTTTGGCATGTGCCACTTCTCTGGCGTATACTCAGATACACCTTTTTTTTTTTTTCCTACTCAGAGTTATTTTCTGAATACTGTATGTTTCCATAGGACTTCCAAACACCAGCAGTCCAGCTGCAGCACGCCTATCCCTTCCTGTGTCTCATTTCTGCTGTCATTTTTTTCCAGCTTTGCCCTGGATCTGTGTCACTCTTCTCTGAATTCTGTGGGGACAGGATATCCCAGGCTCCTGTTTGCTATCCATTGCACCCCCAGATCAGCCGCTGCACAACTGTTGCCCAGCCTGCCAGTGTGATGGTCCTTCCACAGTGCAGTCATTTGTCCCAGCCTTCACTGGACAAATCATCAGTGGGGCTGGTCACAATCATTTTAATAACAGCCCTGTCATTCCTTGCTTTTACCTGCAGATTTACAGAACATGCTCTTAAAAACAGGGTAGCAGTGAAATTACCGTGGATGATTAAATCCAAGATGTGGAAGAGGCGCCCTGAAGAATGTTGTCTAATCTAATCTATCAACCATTGCTAGCTACTGTGAGGATGATTTCCAATCATTTTGGCACTCACATTATAGCAGCTTTGTGTACTCTGTGGCCAAGGTTCATCTTTCCGAACTTGAGACACTTAACCCAGAGAGTAATTGCCTAAGGCTACTTTCGAAGTCAATAATTAAGAGAAAGCAGGTTGTGTCTGAAATGCCTTTTTCTTGGGAGGGAGGGAAGAAGGGAGGGAGGGATGAAAGAAGGGGAAGGAAGGAAAGGGAAGGAAAGAGAAGGAACGGAGGGAGGAAAGAGGGAAGATAAGAAGCAGGGAGGGAGGGAGGAAAGGAGGGAAGGGAGGGCCTCAATTTATTCAGTAACTGAAGTTGGCTAATGGACACGTACCCTTCCGCACCACACCAGCAGCTGAGGCAGAAATTGAAAAAGCCTGATCCCAGCAGATTTCCATTTCTCTTTGCTCATAGCACTAAGAACCACGCCCTCATCATCAGTTTAAGAATGGAGTTTTACTGACCAGTTACAGCCTCCAGAAACAGGGACTGACTATGGAAACTGGTTCAGAAAAGTCAGTTATGAACACAGCTGCAGTGTGACAAAAATGTAATTATAGCTTCAAAGAAATCCTGTTGTAAATCCAGTGATGATATTATTGGCAATAGCAGTGTGGAAAGGTCTTCTTTTCTACAGTAACTAGTTCTTAAATGTATTTGTAGAAAATTTGCAGGAGTTGACACAGCACAAATGGTCTCAACCACTGAAGTCGTGATTTTCTCAGTGCTTATTGCTGTCCAGACTAAAATCCTTATGCTACAATAGCGTTAAAATGACCATGAGCATTTGTGTCAACAAAAGCCTCTGGAGAAAGTGTCATTTGTAGACATGTAACAGCTGATATGAAGAACATTTTTAATATCAACAGAGTGGGAGGTTATGAGAAGCCCAGGTGCAGCTTCAGAGGTGCAGCTTACAAGTTTGCCAGTGTAATCGACCAGAAGCTGAAAATTCATCATTTGGTGTTGGTAATGGAAGGAAACTTGGAACCCTACAAATAGGTGTTGTGAATGTGCTGCACATTCAACAAGCCAAACAACCGAAGCATTTCTGAGGACACCCATCATCATGCAGAATGTTAGCCTGTGTAACAAGCTGTAATGCACCAATCGCCCATTTTGTCTGCAGAACATGTAGTTGTTTATTTGGATTTGGTTTTGTGGCTTTAAAAAAAAATGCTTTATATGTTGTCCCAATCCTTCATTAAAGTTGCCCATCCTTTCTGGGTTTCTGTACACAAAGGTGGAATGACTTTTTTAGCATGGTCTCAGCAAGGATTATTTAAAAGCAATTTTGACTCGTAAAAAAAAAAAATGTAAGCAGCTCCATAATTAGGGACTGCTAATTAGTTTGGGATTTGGATGTTGTATCTAGGTTCAAAAGATTCTTGGTGTCTCATCTGATTCTTTACTGGCCTATTGGCTGGTGTTAAAATGTCTTGCAATATTAAAACTGAGAATATCAAGTACTGCTAGAAGTGAAATAACGAGCTGAAGTTCCTGCATACCAACCTGACTAAAGGAACAGTGTCTTATTAATCTCACTATTTGGCACTGCTGAAAACCAAAGGCAAGCAGCTCGTTTGTCATTTAAAGCTGAAAAGTGAGGTATTGCTTAGTAACACTGGATTTTTTCAAAGAACAGTTTAACTCATATCATTTCTGATCATTTTGAAGAAGAGTGCACTCCCATATTGCAGAATCTAATTTGTATGAGAATTTGGAATAGTTGCTTTGTTATATGTGCTAAAGTTATTGGATAATTTCTGCCAAGAAAAACAATAGATTAATGACATTATCCCTCTGGTGTATGAAGCAAATCAGAAAAGAGAGTTAAAACAATTTGCACCATTTGCACATCTGATAACTTGGATGACTGCATGCAGGAACATAGTAGTCTTCTTACACTCACGCTCCTCCAGCAGTTTGACTTTTTTACCATTCATTCTTATTTTCACATGTCATTTTGTGCTCTTAGTTCCTCATGAAAAGCGTTAGGTTGAGATAAATGTGATTAGAATTAACAAATACATTCAGAGGATCACATTAGATGTAAAAAAAAGATGTATATTAATTAGTATTCTGATTAGTCGTCTTTCTATCTCAAGTAATTATTATTTTCTCTTTCTTCTCAAAAGATGGCCAAATGTACTGCTTTGGTTTCTCCATTAGTTTTGAGATTGCATTAAAAATTCATCAGGCATTCCATCTCATTATGCTTCCATTTCAGCTCTTTGATGGGACAGCGCTTCTACCAAAACCCACAGAAGCAGAAGGTAACTCCATTCAGACGAGCAGAAGTCAGAGGATTCAGTATTTTCGGATTTTCCACTCACAGCGTCCTGACATTGCCCTGAGAAGTAAAGAATGTGTCAGAGTTGGCTTCAGCCTGACTTCCCCCTGAAAGCCTGGAAAAACAGCTGTCATTCTTCTCGTCCCCCCATGGACTGCCTGAGTAAATGCAGCGAGCACATTTCATTACTTTCAGAAGACTAGTTCTGGTTTTATTTAGTTTTATTCTTTATTAGACCTTTTGTATTTAACAATAGCAGAAAGGTACCTGGAATCCTGTCTGATTTTCAACTCACTAAATTCCTATGTGCTTAATCCAATTTAAACTGGAAGGAATGTTGCCAATATGTCAACAAAATGCAACAAAGAGAGGGGAGGGTTAGTTTACAGAAACTCCTGAATTCCTTTGTCTTGACCAAATGAAAGAAAATTGTTCTGGTAAGACAAGTGCATACTAAAAGGATTAACTCTGATAAACTGACTTTTATGTT